CTACCAGCCGGGGAGCACGGAGCTTGGAGCGGCAGCAGATAAGATAGCAGGTGGTGGTGAGAGAGGAGGAAGGGAGGCTTGAGGACCCACAGAGTGGTGGAGAGGTGAGCAGAGGAAAGGCTGGGTGCTGGGTGCTGGGAGGCTGGGATGCTGGGGAGCGTTAGGGCGGCCGGATGGTTAGGGCTTGGCTTGGCTGAGCTTGGTGGGAAAAGGAACTGGTGCGGCTGGAGTGGGAGCGATGGGCATACAGGTGAAGAGCGATCTCAGACGGCGGCGCATTGACTAGGTCAGGGCAGGGCAGAGCAGAGCAGGGCAGAGCAGAGCGGAGCAGAGCGGAGCGAGGCAGAGCAGGGCAGAGCGGAGCGGAGCAGAGCAGAGCAGGGCAGAGCAGAGCAGAGCAGAGCAGAGCAGAGCAGAGCAGAGCGGAGCGGAGCAGGGCAGCACGGGGGGGCATGTTGCAGAGCAGACGGCATGATGGCGGAGCTGAGCTCGACGGCTGCTCGGTATTTCCGCCATCGTTGGACTTGGTAACGTGCTACCATGGCAACCAGCCTTTACGGCAGGCCGCGTCGTGTCGCAACGCTGCACCTTCTACGACGGCTGTGCGAGGAAAGCGATCGCGGTGGTGACAATCGCGATGGTGACAATCGCCGAGCTTAAATAACACGCTACCACGGCAGGCCGCGTCGCGTCACGAGCAATAAGATTGAGGTGGTGACGGCAGATGTGCAAGGGACGAAGATTCGCGACGAGGGTGGGCGAACCGACTCGTGGGGGCTTCATACGGGTCGCCCGTCGCCAGTCGCCCATCGCCCGTCGCCCGTGACACCTGCTGTGACGAAGTGACTTTCGAATCGACTCAAAAGTCACCTCGATTGCCCCTCCTGTCACGCCGCCGCCCGTCGCCCGTGATGGCTGCCGTGAGAACATGCTCGGCGTGACGTCAACCGCCGTCATCGATGTCACGAGAGGATCCCGCCGCGTGTGAAACCACCAAGCAGAGGAGGCGCTGCGCTGCAAAAGTCCTCTGCGTGCTCGCCTTTTTACCGAACCTCTGCCATGCCGTCCAGTGGCCTGTGGCCTCACGTTTACCATGTTGCACTCGGGTCGCGACATCTCTCGTGGCGCTTCTGTGGCGCTCAACGTGTCGACCACACTCAGGCCATAGATATATCCACGATTGCGGAAGGATGACTGCTAATGACGATTGGAATATTCCTTGTTGCGTGCAACAAAACCCATGCCAAGATTTTTTCAGGGTGTACAGAGAATCATTCTCGTCAAATAGCGCATCTGCTTTAATCAGGGGCTTGAGTTTCAGGTTGGCGCCAATATGACACCGAGACCTCGACACCCGCCCCGAAATAGATGTGGACGGCCTCGGGGAAAACGCGGTTCGGGCGCTACGACCAGCCTAGACCCACCCCCCCAAAATGCCCGAGGTGAAATGAAAAACCTAGGCCCAGTTCGGCAGCCACTGAAGAAGGACGGAAGAAAAATGTTTCCGTCTTCACCGAAGCTTCTAATCGCATTATCGAGGGCAAAACAGTGCGGGCTGTAGGGTAAAACTTTCGGAAATCGAAGCGCAGGTGTTTAGCATGCCTACGTTATTATATTTCTGTTTTGCAGATCCGAGAATGTGCAGGTAAATTGTACTGATGTGGAGAAAGTTCAATGTAAAAAATTCGCAGCTTTTGAAGCTAGAATCAAGAAACACTAGATCCATCATCCTTTTTTCTCCAGCTTTCTAAAGTGCACTGCTTTAAAGGCCATATGCCGTAGTGTTCAAGTTTATGTGTGATAGCCAAACAAGTGTGAATTCAGGCTGGTAGTGTTGAGTGACAAGACAAGAGGAGAGGATGGTCTAAGAGAAGCTTGCAAGTGCAGGGAAATTACGCTTGTTGTAGAGAAACAATCAGAAGCAGCGTGGAGGGAGTAGGAGAAGAGACACGGCATGAGTTTGGTGGCATGAGATAGGATGATTGGCTTGGGAAAGGATGAATGGCATGAGCTTGATGGCATGAAATAAGATGAATGACATGAGATATGATGAATGGCATGAGATATGATGAATGGCATGAGATATGATGAATGGCATGAGATATGATGAATGGCATGAGATATGATGAATGGCATGAGATATGATAAATGGCATGAGATATGATGAATGGCATGAGATATGATGAACGGCATGAGATATGATGGGTGGCATGAGAGATGATGATTGTCGTGAGATAGGATCAAAGAGATGTGTTGGCATGGATGACATAAGCTACCATGGATGGATGGCACCGGTAGTTTCGAATGCAACAAGTTTTTATGGATGGCATAAAATATGATGGTTGGGATAAGAAAACCATGAATGTCGTTGACTAGACAAGGATTAATTTTATCCAACGAATTACATCATCCCTTCCCTTTTCTTTTACTTGATATTCCTGTCGTTAGTAATATTTGCATGAACCAAGGCGTCTAAAAAAACTTATGGTGCTGCTGAAGCAGCAGGTGCCTGCATGAGACAAACAGGGGGAACAGACGCTATACATACAAGGAGATAAAGGAGGAATAAACAAAATCATGTTACAGAATGTGAGGTGACAGCATACAAATATCGGCCTCCTTGGCCACAAAGGAGGGCATGTGAGAGGCAAGGATAGACTGAACGAGCGCAGTCTCCCATATGCCGTAGTTCAACCCTAAAAATCCCACGGTACTGATATTTGTTGTAGTTCAGTGGGGTACATAAACATCAACACAGAGAGCACTGAAGAGGTGCTCCTAGTGCTTCTGCCATAGAATTAACTGACGAGATTTCTGCTGGACAAGGACTCTGGCACCTGCTGTTCAGCAGCACCAGCAGCAAGTGATGCAAATCATCCATTCCACCTGTCATTCTAAACGATCAACTTCCATCTGCCAGCGATTACTACCATACAGTATGTTCTATTCTCCCCTTGTTCTGCCACGTTTAAGCCTAACTTCCCCAATCACATAGCAAATTAATTACGTTTTGCCATCGTTCAATACCAACATAACAGAAACTAGCGCAGTGCATGAGCTTGGGAAGGATATAGGGCGGATACAGCCGATGTTGGTGACTTGGCAGTGCAACAAAAAGACTTTTCTGTTGCCAAATCACAGAGACCAAAGGCATGCGTTGAGCTTCTAAGAGCGCGTTCCTACAACCTCTTGTCAGGCAACCTCATATCAGATTCGCATCGAACCGCACTGAAACGTATCCAACAGCAGTCAAACACACTGAAACATATTTCACCACGCAAAGCTGATACGAGGTGTTTCTGATACGAGGTGTAGAAATACGCTCTAATGTTTTGCCATCTATGTTCAGTAGGCATGATAACTTGCATGGAAAGTTGCATTTAACTAATATGTTATGTTAGCGTTTTTCTCAAATGTATTGTCCATATTTTACTTCTTTCACCCACTCAGACGCTCCATGCTGTTTGAAAAGATGCCTGCTTCATTTTTTTGTCCTATTGTATTCTATTCAATATCTTGTTACTTACAGTCTTTGCCCTCTAATCACATAACTCTACTGAAGTAGCAATGTGCTGCAAGGGGTACAACAACTCAGTGCCAAACAATAGGCTCATCCGAATCTTGCTGCTGTACAATCGAGGTTAGGGCGCGTGTCTTTTGCTGTAGAGGTTCGGAAATTCGGTTGAACTTTTGCTAGTAACCGCAAATATCGTCAATTGCGTCGCTTGTGTATCGTGTGTCGTAGTACAGCATTGTAGATGAAGTAGTACACTAAACCTGAGTTGATCTTTTGACAATACACGAGCTAGCTGCGAAGTCGACGATAGTCGCAGCACACATCGTACACACGAATGACTTTTGAAATCAGTGTTTCGGCATCGCCAATAAATAAGTGGCAAACCGGGTAACCTATGTGGTTTGGCCGCGACTCGGGAAAATTCAACTTTGATAGTCGAACTTTCGTGTGTCCTGTGATTCTTTTGAGAGGAGGAGCAGCGATTCGGGCTACAGTTGCCGATATTGTCGAGCCTTGGTTGACCTAGGTTCAACTATGTACTGTTCAACTCAAAACTCGAGTTTTGCATATAAATCTCAAAAGACACACGCCCTTAGTTGACTGATTGGTTGGGGCTGCGCCAAGGATCGTCCGCTTCACTCCCAAGCGGGAGCCAGACTTCGTTCAATCTCTCTCAAGAGAGGAACTCGCCCTAGAGCGAATGCTATTTCAACTACCCGTAAATCTGACATGGACAAGCATGACAGGACACCGATGGTAGGAAGCTCGATTCTGGTCAGCAACAAGTCTTGGCACAACTCTTTTCTCGTCTTATTTTGCTTGACTGATCAGGATCCTCCCCAGAAGCAGCCGTTCCCAGGCTTTGTGTCTGTGGTCAAATCAGGCATTGTAGAAAGCAGATGCCAGAGCTTTCGCAGGTCAAACTTAGGACATGATGACAAATTCCACGATCCATTGTCTTCCTGACCATGTTCTTGTCAGGATCTTCTGGCATTCCGACGCTTTCCAGCCGACCTCGTCATTGTCTCTCTCGAATTACGCTAGAACTGGGAAAAACAAAGATCGAGAACCTGACCCGCATTTTTCAAACCTCCTGCCTCTGCCAATGTCGCTCACGTTCTCCTCATTGCGTCAGTTTGTCGTCGCTGGCGTGAGGTTGCACACGAATCCGTCACAACACTTCACGTTTTATGGGATCGTCCAGTGTCTCGCAAGTATCTCAAACGCGTTTTGGTGTCCTTCCCAAATCTCACTCGCCTGCACTTGAGTAACGGAAGCATGGAAACGATCAACGACGATTTCCTCGCATTTCTCGGGCGTGACGTCGCCCTGACGCCGCCCACCGGGCGTGGCACTTCATCGAGTCGACGACGACTTGTTCATCGCCCAGCTGGAGGGGCAGCTGACGCACCTGCGTATGGGCGACGAGGAGACGGCGACCGACTACTGCAACCGGGCCCGGCGAATTCTCGCCACCATCAGGATGGCTGGCGCGCAGTACTCGACGGCGTCGTACATCACCCACGTCATGCAGGGACTCTCGAGCAGCTACAACCTTCTCAAGCGGCTGTCAATGGCGCCGAGCACGAGGACGACGCTCAACGAGGACAACTTGACCTCGTACATCCTGCAGGACGAGGCGATGCAGGAGGCAGAGCGGTCACAGGAGCTCTTGGCACAGGCGAACCTCGTCGCCCCGGCGAAGCAAGGAAGTCGACCGGGGCAGCGCGGACAGTCTGGCGGCGGTGGTAGCAGTGGCTGGAAGCCGGCCAAGGAAGTCGACAAGAAGAAGTCGACCAAGGACAGCGGTCGAGGAGGAGGAGGTCGACGTCGGGAGTGCTGGCTGTGCGGCGACCCCGACCACCTCTCCTTCGAGTGCCCCGACCGCAGTGACTCCGACGACGACGACGCCAAGGGAGGCCGCGGGAGGTCTGGCAGCCGTCGTCCTCGTCGAGGAGGAAACAAGCCGCGCAAGGAGAAGCAGTCGACCAAGTCGACCTCGGCGAAGGACGCCGACTCCTCTGCTGGCGGCAAGGCGCGGGATGACAAGACGGCGTCGTGCTCGCTGGTCGGCGTTGTGGAGCCGACCGTCTCGCTGGCGCCGGAGGCTGGCGAGGACTTCCAGGCGGTGGCGGCAGCTGTGCAGGCGAACCCGGCGGTGGTCCTGCTCGACAGCGGCTGCTCCCACCACCTGATGGGGACGAAGGAAGCCTTCGTCGACTTGCAGCCGAGGGGCTCCATCAAGCACGTGCGCGGCTTCAATGGGGCGCTGCAAGACGTCCAGGGTCGCGGCACCGTCACCCTGCAAGGGGAGGCTGGGAAGAAGGTGCTCATCCCCGACGTGCTGTATGTCCCGGGTGTGCGGGCAAACCTGCTATCGTCTGGCCAGCTGAAGGAGCACGGCGTGAAGCTGCAGGAGGACGGCGACGGGATGCTGCTCGTCTCGGCAGCAGGAGAGGTACTCGGTCGGGCGACGTACTCCGGGCGTGTCCTGTGCACCGACATGCGTCCCTACTCAACGAGGTCGACGTCGCCCACGCCGGAGGTTGTGGCCCTGCGGGCGATCGTCTCGAAGACGAAGTCGACGCCGGACAGGATGCATGCGAGGCTTGCACACGTCGGCATGGACACCATACGGAGCTCGGCAAAGCACGAGGTCGCCACTGGGCTGGACCTCAAGTCGGCGACGGGCGCCGACTCACCGTGTGTCTCGTGTGTTGGCGGGAAGCTGGCGCGGCACACCTTCCCCGACCAAGGCTTCGAAGCCAACGACGTGCTGGCCGTCGTCCACATCGACCTGTGCGGGCCGTTCCGCGTGGCTGCCAAGGACGGCAGCCTGTACTTCTTGCTGCTGAAGGATCGGAAGACCCGCTTTGTGTGGGTGAGGCCGGTCGCCAAGAAGTCGGATGTGCTGCTGGAGTTCCAGAAGTGGCTGGTGTTGGTGGAGAGGCAGACGAAGAAGTCGGTGCTCATGCTTCGCTCCGACCGGGGAGGGGAGTTCCTCGGGAAGCAGTTCACCGACTTCGTGGATGGCAAGGGGATCGTCCACGACCTTACCTGCCCGTACACCCCGCAGCAGAATGGCATGGCGGAGCGGGAGATGAGGACGGTGGTGGAGTCGGTGCGGACGATGCTGCTGCACATGGGCGTCCAGCACCACTGGTGGCACCTCGCTTTGCGGCACGCTGTCTGGGTCCGCAACTGCCTGGAGAGGTCGGCGACGCCGGGGACGACACCGTACCAGTTGCTCACCGGGAAGAAGCCCGACTTGTCGCTGGCGCGCGTGTGGGGCTGCATGGCGCAGTTCCTCGTCCCCGAGCAGCAGCGTGGTGGGAAGCTGAAGCCGAAGGCCAAGTGGGGCCTTCACCTTGGCGTGTCGGAGGCGAGCAAGGGCTGGGAGCTCCTCGACATCGCTGACAACCGGGTGGTCACCACGTCGGACGTGGTGTTCTACGAGGACATGTCGCTGGAGGTGTGGAAGTCGGAGCACGGGCCGGTGTCAGGACGGACACCGACCACCCTGCCAACTGACACCTCGCAGGCGACGCTGCCTCTGCTCGCGGAGGTCGGTGAGCTCGCTGCTGGGGACATCGAGGTCGACCATCCTCCTTCCCCTCCTCCCACGACCCCTGTTTCTCCCCTCGTGGCCAACCTGCGTGAACTGACTCCGATGTCGGCCTCCGGCGATGAGGGGAGTAGTGGGACGTCGCCTGCGGCCAAGAGCATCGCCGGTGGCCGACGTGACGAGCGGCAAGCCGACGTGGGAGTGCAGGTTGAGGAGGAGCAGGTCGAGCAGGTCGAGGAGGAGCAGCCGGCAGGGGAGCAGGCAGCAGTGAAACCGACCACGGAGCCGTCGGCAACCGGGCGGTCGGCAGGGGAGCCGACCACAGGGGAGGAGTCGGCCAGGAAGTCGACTGAGCTGCAGCAGGACGACGAGGGGGAGGACGCCGAGGAGTCCACCACGAGTGACAGGTTCCGCCTGAACCCCGGAAGTCAGGTCGACTTCGGAGGCCACCCGATTTCTTCGTCTTCGCTGCCTTCACCATGGTGTACGATGTGGACGACGACGACCTGGCGTACGACGACGCCGAGGAGGATGAGGAGTTTCCGGAGCTCGACCCCGACATGCATGCCGACCCTAAGCACCGCTGGGACATCTCGACGATGACGGTGAAGGAGGCCTTGGCGAGCTGGAAGGGCCCGGCGGTGAAGGCCGCCATGGAGGAGGAGATCCGCAGCCTCATCAACATGGGCACTTGGGAGCTGGTCGAGCGCCCACCTGGAGTGAACATCATGAAGAACCGGTGGGTGTTGACGACGAAGTACCGCATCGACGACACCGTCGAGCGCGAGAAGGCGAGGCTGGTCGTGAAGGGCTTCACGCAGGTGTATGGCGCCGACTACGACGAGACGTACGCGCCGGTGAGCAGCTACGTCACGCTGCGGATCTTCCTCAGCATCGTCGCCGTCCTCGACCTCAACCTGATGCAGCTCGACATGAAGAACGCCTTCCTGCAGAGCAAGCTCGACCGGGTGCTTTACATGTACCAGCCGGACTACTTCAATGACGGGACCGGCCGGGTGTGCAAGCTGCTGAAGAGCCTCTACGGGCTGAAGCAGTCGCCGCTGTTGTGGTACAAGGCGCTCAACGACGTGCTGGTAGGCGCTGGGTGGAAGAAGAGCCAGGTCGACGAGGCTCTGTACTTCAAAGTCGGCGTCGACGAGGGTGCCTGCTGGGTGCTGGTCTACGTCGACGACCTGCTCGCCGCCAGCAGCAGCACCGCGATGTTGAAGGAGCTGAAGGAGCTGCTGGAGGCCGCCTTCGAGCTGCGCGAGATCTCGCCGGTGCAGAAGTACCTCGGGCTGGAGATCGTGCGTGACAGGTCGGCGAGGAAGCTGTGGCTGCACCAGCAAGGCTACGCCGACAAGCTGCGTAGGCGCTTCATCGACGAGGAGCAGGGCGGTCGGACTCCAATGACGCCAGTCTCGGTCGACGCCTACGCCAAGCTCACCTTCGACGACGAGGGGGCTCAGGAGCGTCAGGAGGAGGAGTACCGGCAGAAGGTCGGCTCGCTGCAGTTCGCGGTGACGACGACGAGGCCGGACATCGCCTTCGCCTGCAGCAAGCTGGGGAGCGGCCTCACGGTGAGGAGCGACCAGCACTAGCGCGAGGTCGACCGCTGCCTCGCCTACCTCGCCAACACGCGAGACACCGCCCTGGAGTTTGGCGGTGGACCTGAGTCGCTGGAGCTAGTCGCCTACGTGGACGCCGACGACGCCGGTGACAAGCAGAGCCGGACGAGCACGGGCGGCTATGTGTTCGTCTACGGAGGGGCCGCGGTCTCCTGGTCGAGCTAGCGCATCAAGTGCGCGACGCTGTCGTCGACCGAGTCGGAGTACGTGGCGGCCGTCGAAGCCGGCAAGGAGGGACGCCAACTTCGCTTCCTCCTGGCAGAGTTCCGGCAGCTGGACGCCGGAAGGCCGACCGTCCTGAGGGTGGACAACAAGTCGGCCATCACGGTCGCCGAGGGCATGGGGTTGACAGGCAACCTCAAGCACATGGAGCGGCGACAGGCTTGGCTGCAGCACATGGTGAAGCGGGGGAAGTTTTCGCTGCAGTACATTCCGACCGCTGAGCAGCCGGCCGACTTCCTGACGAAGGCGCTGCACTATCCGGCCTTCAACCGGTGCTCCGTCGCAATCGGCCAGGTGCGCTTGGACGACGTGGGCGATGGTGACGATGACGACGTGCAGCAGTAGGTGCCATGCCCGCTTGCATGGCTGGTGCGGTGGACGACGTGCTGTGTGTTGGGTGCACGTCGACGAGCTTTTCTCCGAGAAGTACTGCCGTGTGGGCTGGGGGCCCAAGTTGTGTGTTGGCCCCGTCCTCGCTTGGGCGGAGCTGACTTCGTGGTCGGGTGTAGCCGACCTGCAGCAGTGGGCGAGCTGGTCGACGAGGAAGTCGACCTGCACGGGTGCCACTGCATGGGCGCCGACTTCGTCGGGATGGCGCCGACTCGAGGGAGGTCGACCTGGGAAGTCGACCTGCGGAGGGCGTCGACTTGGTGACGCCAACTTGGGGCAGCCGACTTGGGTGGTCGGCTGACAGAACGTCGACCAGGTTGGTCGACCAGGTCTGCTGGTCGACTTGGTGGCTGGTCGACCAGGCGTGATGTCGACCTGGTGGTCGACCGAACGTGATGGTCGACGTAGGAGGGGCCGATGTCGACCTCGACAGACGAATTCAGGACGCCGAGCTACGGGGCGTCGAGTAGCAGCGCGTCAACTTGGTGACACCGACTTCGGGTAGCTGACTTTGGGGTCGACTGACAACTGTGCTGGTCGACGAGGAGCTGGTCGACCAGGAGTGACGTCGACCTGGAGCTGGTCGACCAAGAGGTAGTGGTCGACCTGGTAAGGTCGACTTGGGGTGGTCGTCGACGTGGGAGGTCGACGGGCACATACAGGAGCAGCTGGTCGACGTGGTTGCCCGGTCGACCAGGTTACCTGGGTGACGAGGTTCTGCGGAAGAGTGCGACGGTCGCCCAGGTGGTTTTGGCGAGACCGACCTTGGTGGTGGTATCCCGAGGTCGACGTGGCTAATCAGAAGCAGTCTTCAGCACGAAGTTGACGTGGTGTGTGCGCTGTGCAGGTGACGAGGCACTGCACGCCAATCACCTGCGAGCACCTGCGAAGCGGGTGCGCTGCTGTCCTGCAGGAGCAACGTTGGCACGCCGTCAACCTGCGACGTTGGTACGCCGTCGACTTGCAGCGTTGGCAAGCCGCACCTGTGCACTGCTGGAGCGCGGTCGACCAAGTCGTGCTGGCACGCGGTCGACCATGCTGCGCTGGCAGTAGCCTTGCTTGCATGCTAGCTCTGATGTAGTCTAGTCTTGCCAACTTCATTGTACCATTGTTGTCAACCTTTCCTAGTGAAACTCTTGCCAATTCTCCCTGTGAACTAGCAAGTAGTGTGAGCACTTGGAAACAACTAAGGAACAAGTGAACGCAGAGATCACACATGTCAAACATTATATGTTTATATGGTTGTAGGCTGTAGTGGGTTACGCCTTAGGGGGTACACTGGATTAGGGTTTCCTATTTGTATCCAGCCTTCTGTTAGTACAGTCATTCCAGTCCGTTCATTCTGACATGGTTTCAGAGCAGGTCCTTTGCTAGGACCTAACTTCTCTTCGGGCCCACCACTACCTACTACCTACTACCTACTAGCGCCCTCGTGCGCCCTACTATCGGAGTGCGCTTTAGCGCCTCCCCCCTTAGCGCCCTCGAGCGCTTTCTTTTTTTTTTCCCGGCCCCGCTGGCCCCGTCGATCGCGCCCCGCTTAGAGGCCCCGCGGCCCCGTCGCGCCTCGCCTAGTGGCCCCGCGGCCCCGTCGAACTCACGCGCGCCCCGCTTACGGCCCCGTCGACCCCGCGCGCACCCCGTGTAGAGGCCCCGCGGCCCCGTCGTCCGCCACCACACGGCCCGTCGAACCCGCGCGCGCCCCGCTTACGGCCCCGTCGACCCCGCGCGCACCCCGTGTAGAGGCCCCGCGGCCCCGTCGCCCGCCACCACACGGCCCCTCGACCCCGCTGCGCCCCGCTTAGCGGCCCCACGGCCCCGTCGAGCCCCGCTTAGAGGCCCCGCGGCCCCGTCGCCCGCCACCACACGGCCCCTCGACCCCGCTGCGCCCCGCTTAGCGGCCCCACGGCCCCGTCGAGCCCCGCTTAGAGGCCCCCGCGACCCCGTCCCGCCCCTCTTAGCGGCTCCGCGCAGCCGCGCAGCCCGAACCGAGCCGCGCCGCCCTACCTGAACCGAGCCGCGCCGCCCGACCGAGCCGCGTCGACCGTTCTAGCAGCCCTGTTGATCCTACTGCTACTCCTACTGCTCCTACTGCTACTGTCACTATGGCTAGTCCGCCAGTTCTAGCTTTCGATGCCGAGGGCCGTCCAGTGAAGTTCGAAACCTGGCTCGATGACCTGCACCTGTTCCTACAGCTCACTGCCAAGGAAGATATCTCACTGTACGACCACGCCCTAGGCCATGCCACTGCCCCTGACTCGACTGCTGACAGCACTCTGCGTTCCCAGTGGCAGACCCGTGATGCGCATGCTCGCTTTGCTATTCGCAACTCCCTGCCGCTAGACGAGCGCGAGCACTTCGGCCAGTGCAAGACTGCTAAGGACCTCTACACCGCTGTAGTTGCCCGCTACTCCTCACCCGCTTCTGCCACGCTAGGCCGCCTCACTCTCCCCTACCTGTTCCCCGACCTAGCCTCCTTTCACACTGTTGCAGACCTCATCACCCACCTTAAGACTAGTGAGGCCCGCTTTCGCGCTGCTATGCCTGCCGAGTTTCTCACTAGCAACCCCCCCCCACTCTGGATCACTCTCTACCACATCGTCACCCGCCTCCCTGACTCTCTGCGCGCAGTCAGGGACCACTTCCTCTCTCGCTCCCCCACTGAGCTCACTGTTGCCCTCCTCGAGAAGGAACTGCTTGCAGCTGAGGCGAGCATCGTCGCTGTAGGCACCTCTCGTGGCGACCCCCGCACCCCGTTCTTTGAGGGGTGTTCCCCTTCCCCCCTCCTCCCCTCTGTCGCCTCTGCTGCTGCTGTCGACCTTCTTGGTGCTGAGAAGGTCGGGACCGCGTCTGCTTCGAGCGGGCGCCGCAGGAACAAGGGGGGCAGGGGTGGGGGTGGTGGCGGAGGAGGTGGGGGTGGAGGCGGTGGGAGTGGAGGCGCGGCTGGGGAGACTAGTGGCGGCAGTGGGGGAGGAGACAGCAGCGGTGGGAGTGGTGGTGGAGGCGGCAGCGGAGGCGGAGGTGGTCGTGGCGGCGGCAGGGGTGGAGGTGGCCGGGGCGGCGGCGGTGGGGGTGGTGGTCGTGGAGGCACTGGCGGAGGGCAGAGTCAGCAGCCCGCCCCGACGCTTCAGGCCGCCCGTGAGTGGTATGCGCAGCGTAGCGTTATCTGCACGTACGTCATTCGCACAGGTGACCGCAGCGGCCAGCAGTGTGGGAGGCCGCACCCCACGCAGCGCTGCTTCGCGCGCCTTAACGACGCGTGGCGCACTCAGTTTCCTGCTGCCACTGAGCTGCCGCGCTGGGCTGATCTGGAAAAGAGGGGTGTTGATATTTGGGCTTTAGACTTTGATGCTATTCTCACTGCCATGTATGCGATGTCTATTAGTGGAGAGGGTGCTCAGTACTTGCGTGTTCCGCCCGACCCGGGCATTCAGGCCAGTCCGGCTGCCGCTCTAGGTGCTAGTGCGTCTGCTCCCACAGGTCCTGGTGAGGCTGCTGCTCTAGGTGCTAGTGAGTCCGTGCCCTCTGGTACTGAGTCGACTGCAGCACTGCACACCTTCACACTGGACTCAGGTGCTTCTCGCTGTTTCTTTCGTGACCGCACTGTCCTTGAGCCGCTTGCTCGGCCAGTTGCTGTCTCCCTCGCTGACCCCTCTGGGGGTCCGGTCGTTGCGACCTCCTCCACTGTTCTTCCTTGTCCTGCGGTCCCGTCAGGCACACTGTCAGGCCTCTACCTCCCCTCGTTCTCTACGAACTTGGTGGCAGGTAGTGCGCTCCAGGACGGGGGTGTTCACCAGTTCACCCCTGCTTACGAGCGCGTGACCCACTGCACGTGTGCTCGGACGGGCCGTCACCTGGCTACCTTCACTCGGCAGCCGGGGTCGGACCTGTACACACTGACCACTGAGTCCCCTCAGGTAGCTGCGTCCGCGTCTGCGTCTGCGTCAGGTCAGCTGTCCGCCCCCTGCTCGTGTCGCTCTCTGGCGCATGAGACTGTCCTCTGGCACCACCGCCTTGGTCACCCGTCTGTGCAGCGCCTGCGGGCCATGCACAAACGGGACCTTGTTGCTGGTCTTCCCAGGGTGCTCCCTCCCCTTCCTGACTCCCCTGCTCCTGACTGCATTCCCTGTGTCGAGGGGCGGCAGCGCGCCGCTCCTCACTCCTCCTCCTTTCCCCCGACGACTGCTCCCTTGCAGACGCTCCACATGGACGTGTGGGGCCCAGCCCGCGTCCGTGGTCAGGGTCAGGAGAGGTACTTCCTGATTGTTGTTGACGACTTCTCGCGCTACACCACGGTCTTCCCCTTGCGCGCCAAGGGTGACGTCCCTGATGTCTTGATCCCTTGGATCCGCAGATCTCGTCTCCAGCTCCGTGAGCGTTTCCGCTCCGACTTCCCTGTCCTGCGTCTGCACTCTGACAGAGGTGGGGAGTTTTCCTCTGGCCTATTGGAGGCCTTCTGTCAGCAGGAGGGCATTGAGTAGTCGTTCACGCTTCCGGCCTCTCCACAGCAGAATGGGGTTGCTGAGCGCCGCATTGGTCTGGTCATGGAGGTCGCTCGTACCTCCTTGAGCCATGCGGCTGCCCCCCATTTTCTGTGGCCGTTTGCAGTCCGATACGCTGCGCATCAGCTCAACCTCTGGCCCCGTGTCTCCTTGCCCGAGACTTCTCCGACACTGCGTTGGACGGGAGAGGCTGGCGATGCGTCGCGTTTTCGGGTCTGGGGATCTCGAGCTTTTGTCCGCGACACGTCCGCGGACAAGCTCTCCCGTCGCGCTGTCCCCTGCGTCTTCCTTGGCTTTGTCCCGGACGCCCCTGGCTGGCAGTTCTACCACCCCACCTCGCGTCGTGTCCTGGCCTCTCAGGACGTCACTTTTGACGAGTCCGTCCCCTACTACCGCCTCTTCCCCTACCGCACTGCCCCGCTTCCCCCCCCGCCTCTCTTCCTCGCTCCAGGTGCT